GACAGAATTAAAGGATTTTGCAACTTTTGTTAGGGAAATAGATCTTTTTTGAGAATGACAGCAAAGCGTGCTGCTTATATACCACCCCATAGCGCTTCAAGCACTCTCTGGGCAGTTTAAAAGTTAATTATGCAGGCTAAACATTCCCCCCCCCCCAGCAAGCTGGGTACTCATTTTACCGACCTCGGAAGGATAGAAGGCTGAGTCAACCTTGAGCCGGTTCCCTGGGATCGAACCCCAGATCGTGAGTACAGTTTTGGCTGCAGTACAGCGGTTTAACCACTGCGCCACGAGGGTCACTGCCTCAAAACATTTTTTTGTAAAACAAAGAAAAAGTCTAGGAGTTAAAATCCTGTACAGCGGTTTAACCACTGCACCATGAGGGTCACTGCCTCAAAACAATTTTTTATAAAACAGAAAAAGTCTAGGAGTTAAAATCCTTCGTATCTTTATCTCATCTGGTCTGTTAGGCAGGGCCTTGGGCGTAATCTGGCCCCTGGGTATAAAAGATATAAACCCACCTTTGGCCTACGGGGGGGAGCAACATCAGCCCTCCCCCATGCCGCACTGCTGCCTGCTCACTAAACACAAACCCGCACCAATGAAGGGCTCTACCCTTAAAGGCAGCCCGAAATAATGGAATGTCCACACTTTGGTGGATAGCACTGGTTCAAGGTCAGATTGTGTGCAAGAATGGGGATCTCTTGCTTCATCTTCTTTCGGGTCTTTGGTTTTCTATTTAAAGTTCATTTGCAGTGGTTGAGAGAAAGAACTTATTAGGATGGCAGTGCTGGAGTGTAAGAGTTATCTTCCTCATAGCATTTTCCCAATGAAGATCATCTCTGTTCTAGAAAGCTGCTATTTGCCCTGTTGTACAAAAGAAACAGGTATGTATACAAATAGCCAATACGTTGCCAAAATCCTCCATAGTGAATTGCACTGAGCTTATTAGAGAAGAGGAACAGATGAATTCAAGCAGAAGACCATGCATAGATTATTGCAAAGGCTCACTGTTTTGTGCTGGCTGTGGTACCAAAGATCAAAATTATTATATCCAGTGACCAAGGATCATCTCTGCCATTCAGCTTCTTAAATCCTCCACATTCATCGCCAGCTTCAGAGAACCCCACCTTTTTCCCAATTGTGGATTAGAGACAGGGAGAGCAGGGATTTCTGTGCAATAGCTGGAGTGATCCCCTGCCACCTCTGAAGTTGAGAAAAAGGCTTGGGTTTGTTAGGCTCACTAGAGGAGAAAACCACATTTGCTGTGAGGAGTGTAGACAGTGAACAGTATCTTTAGGCAGAGCCAGACAGCCAGACAGCTTATGCTAGCAGATTTTTTTGGTGCCATGAAATAGCAGCAAATTTTTAATACTAGGGATGTTTGTGGAATATCTGCCTCTTTTTTCCCTACATTTGCTTCTTCACATCAGGCAATAAAATATAGTATCCTGGATTTTGAGTGAATATGTGGAAGCTTGAACTTTGTGAAAATTATCTTATTTTATCTTATTTATTTATTAGATATATGCCTTATATTTCTTCCTCAAATAGGCATCAGCATGGCTTAAAATATGATTGAATAAGGAGCTATTAAAATACAAAACAACTTTAAATTAAAGGCATGGTTAAATACATGCACATCACTAAGGGTGTGCAGATCTGAGAAGGATTTGTGCTGTACTTCCCAAAATTCCTCAGTGCATACCAATAGTGAAAATTAATGTGCAACAAAAATACACATGGGGACTTGTTAACTAGTGGCAACTACCCAATGCAGTTTATGCCCTGGCACTTAATGTTAGCATTAAAAACAGTGGGATTTTGGCCATTACTTCTGTTTTAGGTTTTTTTTTTAAGCTGCATGTCATTTGGTGTTCTTTCTTTTTGCTTTTTGCAGTGATCTGTAAATGCAAATGTCACACAGGGAGATGAACCTAATAGCTTCAATAACACAGCAATCATTTATTGATCAGGCCAAGCTAGAAGTGGTCATCCAGTATAATGGCAAAAAAAACTTTTAAAATTAGGAGGGTGAAGGAAATTGCTTTGTTTACTTGTGCAAATTGCTGAAAGCATGTAATATTAATGGCTCACTTTTTTGCTGTTTATGTTCAAATGTAAACCACCAGCTGGAAAGCACTGAAACATTTCTGTTGCTTGCAGATCACTCTTCCTAATTTTAAAAGAAATATAATTTGCAATTTCATCTTTTCCTCAATCATGCCATTACATTAAAAAGAAAACTGACATATTAGAACAGCTTAACAGTGGGTTGATGCATATATATACTGTACTTAATATGCCTTACCTGAATTATGCTGTGAACACTGCACAGGGAGCAAAAACCACTTATGTGTCAGCTCTTCCCACTCAAATTGTTAAATGTCTGAAGGATCCAGCACTGAGGGGAGGTCTGATGGATTAGGCCATTAAATGATCAGCTGGGAAATATTTAAGGGTACTTTAAAACAGCATTTTCTGCTTGAATGTGTGGGCAGGAGGGTTCATGTTTGTGTGACACCTGGCTTTGACACATGTTGAAACACAGATTTTAAACAATAATAATACTGTGACAAGAGCTACCAGAGATCACAGTTTTTTTCTTTTCTGTTTTCTAAGATGCATTGGCTAAGATCCCGTCACGTTTTTATGGTGGAATAGTGGCATTGGCATAGATTTTGTTGGTGAGTTGTCTTAAGTTAAAAAGTCAAAGTAGGCATTTTGTGTTGTGCGCTGAGTTGCATGTCTTTGCATCCAACAGCCAATGCCTATGCTGACTTCTTAGTTTGTGACAATTTGCTGCCAAGATTTAGACCACCTGCACTGTCAGCAGGCATAATTAGTAGAATTTTGGTCATTATTTCTTAAATTTGTATCTAACCTTTCCATCAAGATATAGACCTGTCTTCTACGAACTGGAACCCTCTGGATTTATTGAACTATACTTCCTACCACCCTCAGTGAGCACTGTGGTCAAACACATATGAACGGCAAACTAGTTAGGAAAGGTTGATCTGGGTTGATTGATTGATTTTATTTTGTTTCTACGGCACCTTTCTTCCCATAGGGTACTCTAGAAAATGCTGTGGAGTATTCACACCAGTGCATTTTATTATCCTGTTTTTTTCTGTTTTTTTCCCCCGTACTGTACTCCTTCTAAACATAGATAGTTTGGTTGTTCTACAGTTCTGTGGTTGGGCTTTCCCTTGTTATCCTCCCAGTTAGACTGCTGCACTATATTGTACATGGGGCTGCCTGTGGAGATTGTCTGGAAGTTGTAGTTAGTTCATACTGTGATTGCTAAATTACTAATTCAAATTACTTCATTGGGAGTAAATTAGTAAAATCCAATTACTTCATTGGAAGCACATCTCATCAGTGCTTTAAGACAGTGGTTCTTAACCTTTTTGAAAGAAACGCCCCCTTGAGCCATTGAGGAAGTTATCATCGCCCCCCTCCCCGCGGTGATGATATCTTTCT